TGCTATAGTCAGACTATAGTAACAGTTTAGAACAATATTGCTACGAGTTTGGATCGATATTTGGACTAGTCTATTTGGAGTGTACATTTGTGGCAAGTACAAGTTTATTGGATTGTATTTCAGGAAAGTTTAAGTGTATATTGATCGTCGGAGAATTTGAATTATACGGTATCTTTTCGTTAGGAACGGGTTAGTATATTTCCTCTGCAAAGATGGTGTATTAAAAGTATATTTATATCGTCAGGGACGGTGCATTTGAACTGTGTTTTCTCGTTAGGAACGGGTTATTTTGGATTATATTTCACTTAAAGATCTGGTTTATTTAAAAGTATATTTATATTGTCAGGGACGGTGCATTTGAACTGTTTTTCTCGTTAGGAACAGGTTATTTTGGACTATATTTCACTTTCAAGATCTGGTTTATATTCAAGTATATTTTATCTTCAGGGACGGTGCCTTGGAACTATATTTATTGTTAGAAACGGTTATATCTGACTATATTTACTCAAGATCTGGTTAGTGTAAAGTATATTTATCATCAAAGATGTATATCTTCTCGTTAGGAACGAGTATTTGGATTAAATTTCACCTGAAGTTCTATATTTCACTTGAGGGATAATTTATATCGTCTGGGACAGTGTATTTGTATTATACATGGTATTCTTGTTTGAACAGAATATTGGAGTATAGATATTGTCGAGGACGGTGAGTTTGGACTATATTTATTGTCAGGGAATTTAAGTTGTTAATTTTATTCAGGAAAATATTTTCTGGGTACATTTGTGTTATAACTTTATAACTCATACTGCATGATCAACAGTAATGTCTGTGCGATCGTGTCCGACAGCACTTCAGAAGGAACCAACTGAGGTTAACCCAGCCAGGTCCGAGCCTGGACAATGATGCATTGAAGGAACATGGAGAGGTGTTTGGTTAGAAAAAGAAGAAATGGAAAAGGAGAAGATAAATGCTTTGTTTAAGACTCGTATACACTTAATTACGGTGGCCCACAAGGGCAACGTCATTAATAAATCAGATATCAAATTCAAATTCCTTACTTCAAATTCAAATTCATCACTCCAAATTCAAATTCATCACTCCAAATTCAAATTTCTCACTCCAAATTCAAATTTCTCACTCCAAATTCAAATTCCTCACTCCAAATTCAAATTTCTCACTCCAAATTCAAATTTCTCACTCCAAATTCAAATTTCTCACTCCAAATTCAAATTTCTCACTCCAAATTCAAATTTCTCACTCCAAATTCAAATTTCTCACTCCAAATTCAAATTTCTCACTCCAAATTCAAATTCGTCATTGGTCAGCGGTAACAATCTCAAATAAACTTTAATACTTCATTTACACACGGCTAATAGAAATTTACTGCAAGTAAAAAAAACATGGCATCCACTTGCGAGGAATGTCATCAAAGTGTGGAGTTATACGACAATTTCTGCTGCCACTGTGGCGTGAAACTTCCTAATGAAGAACTTCAAATAAAGTATTATTTTTCACAAGGTTACGAGTATAGTGTAATACTGGAATTTTTACGTAGATTTCACGGTGTTACAATGTGTTTACGAACTCTAAAAAAAACGTCTGAAGACCCTAGGTTTGGAAAGAAAATCAACAGAGTTTGACGAAGATCAAGTAAGAGCCAGGATACAGCGAGAGATTGATGGACCTGGTTGCTTGGCAGGCTACAGAAGCATGTGGCACACGCTTCGCTGTGAAGGTTTTATGATCCCAAGGAGTAAAGTGGCGAGCATACTCAGAGAGTTAGATCCTGATGGTTGCGAAGAAAGGCGCACACATCGACTTAAACGACGTTTGTACATTAACCCAGGACCTAATTTTTGTTGGCACCTTGATGGATACGACAAACTTAAGTTGTTTGGCTTCCCAATCCATGGTTGCATCGATGGGTTCAGCCGCAAAATGATCTGGTTAAAGCTTTCAAGATCAAATAACAATCCAGAAGTAATACTGAAATTTTACCTTGATTCAGTAAGAGAATTTGGTGGTTGTCCCAAAAAAGTACGAACCGACTATGGTACAGAGAATGGTTTAGTAGCAGCTGCACAGTGCTGGTTTACAGATGATATAGGTTCTCACATTTATGGAACCTCACAACACAACCAGAGAATTGAGGCATGGTGGTCCTTCTTTAGGCGCAGCAGAATGACGTGGTGGATAAATTTTTTCAAAGATTTGTTCGAACGTTCTATATGCACTACTGGAGATGAGATTAAAATGGAATGCTTATGGTTTTGCTTTGCTAATATTATTCAGCAAGATTTAGAGCATGTCAAGAACCTCTGGAATTCACATTACATCCGTAGTTCCCGATATGAATCTGTTTCGGGTCGACCTAATGAATTATTCTTTTTGCCTGAAATACATGTTGCGGAGAATTACCTACAGCCTGTAAGTGAAATTCAGTGTCAGCATGTGGAAGAAAACCATGTTATTGAAGAAGAAGCAAATGATTACCAAGAGTACTTTGCTTATGTTATGGAGCAATGTGATCTGGGTGAGCCTCAAAATTGGAGAGAATCTTTGAATCTGTATAATCAACTTCTATTTCATTTTGATGGGTAATAAAAGTTGCTCTGCATATTGTACCATAATACTCAATGGGTTAACCCAGCTTCGTGCCCAGATGCTTATAAGGAAAATTGTGCTAAGCATTTCAGTGAAATATATAGACTATTGCATCCTCCCCAAGCACCCCCAGACACTTATAAACATTGCATATATCACAATGAAGCGTAATTTTCCGTATAAGTGCATGGGTATGAGGCTGGGTCAACCTATTACGTACTTGAATGTAACTAAAATCATTAAAATCATTTGAAGTAGTTAAACAATAATATGAACATGTTTCCTTTCACAAATCTAGTTTTGAGTATTGCACAGGAGAAACCTACTTGTTCATGTATTAATGGACAAAACCATCAACAACATAAATTACGTACTAATAGTAATAAGGCAAAAAAAAGCATTCTGTTTGGTCAGTGTGCGCATGTCATCTTTGACTATGTGCGTCAACGTTCTGGTTATAAATTCATGTCTCCTCTCCCTGTTTATATGAATGCTGAGCTCTAAACAGCTAAAAACGATCAGGTTGTTGCAATATTGATGTGAACAGGATTGAACAATGTTGTGCGGCCTACATTGTTCACAGTTGTCAACAATATTGAACAATATTGTTACACCGAATTCAGGCTCAACAATATTGTTCAATATTTTTGACAACTGTGAACAATGTAGGCCACACAACATTGTTCAATCCTGTTAAACAGCAGCCTCATAATTTTTATGCGTGTATCCTTACCCTGACTCTAACTGCTGACCCTAACTCATGAACAGCAAGATGTGAATCTATATCCAACGTTTTTTTATGAAAACCGCTGATCATATTAATGTACTGAAATTCAGTTGACACGAAAGTTATTATATCTTACATGTTTATGAATACATATTAGTACTCAAACATACTGTATGTTTTGGCATGAATTTTGTCAGAGAATAAACTCAATGAAGCATATTCTTGTTATATTTTATATATATTTCTATTATTTTATGCACCTGAACATTTAATATAATGTAAACTTGGTATACTGTATGCACTTATAGAAACTGGAAATGTAATCGCAGTTTCTGCAAAAAGTGTTTCCTTTAAAAAAATGGGGGGGGGGAGCCGCGCGCGCGTCAATTTTGCAAACAGAATACTTTTTTCCTGTTAATATTTGTAATAGGAATCACAGAGACAGTTTGTAACTGATTTGCTGACAGGCAAGTTTGTATAATAAATTGAACAAACATATTAGGGAAACAAGAACAATAGAAGTCTTCATAAACTGATATTAGGGAGTTTACGAATGTAAGACGGCGATGTCAGGACGACGGCTATCAACACAATGACACTAATCCTATAGCACAAAAGAAATGAATAATTAAAAGTTTAGCAGGGATTTTAGACGTCGTCCCAGCTCTGTTGACAACGACAAAATGCATATTTTCATGTCCTGTATAGTACCCTGGCGTTTCACGCCGTGACAGGTCGTTTTTCTACCAGCTTTGATCAAAATTGTTCGGAAGGTTAAAGCTGTGTTTTACCCGTTCGAAATCATTTTAAATTAATACGAAAGTAAATGCAATAGCAGCAGTTCCATACAATAATTTATTTCAAACAATTTGTTTCGCTGACGTCGCTGTCTTTAATTCGAAAACTCCCTATTATAAAATGACACGCTCTTGAAGTTTATGGATTGTCAAAAGAACCTCCTTTGCAATATGCAAGCAGAAAGACATTTCGAAATTCGGTACTGTCAGTCATATGGGCAACGGGGAACGTAATCACTTTGGCACAGGCTCCCACTGTGGGGAAGCAAATGGTGTGCTTCGAATTTCTTGACATACATTCGTGATCAAATTCCACTATAATAGAAAGTGGAATTCCATTTAAGGGCTTATGCTGTTGCCCTGTAAGCCATCCAAAAATACCGGCTGGCGTTAGATTGGCCATTTCAAACTTTTCAGTAATGCCTTTATCTACAACATCTTCATGAGATGCCCGAAGCTCAGCTGAATATTCCTCCGGTAGGTCAGCGGCCCATGATATTGCTTCTGCGTAGCCTGTAACAGATTCATCTTCGAGGCCAAATAGGAAGTCTTGTATATTATCCATGATTTTGTCTTCATGGACTCTTTTAGATGATCCTTCTGGAGAATACTGAGGACACATCAATGAAAAAACATAATTTGCATCAACTGCATCATTTCCTACAACGAACAGGGTTTTAGTGAGATCAGGATTGTCTCGAATAGCTTGCATTAGACCAAACAGCTTCAGCCCTTCAGCGAACTCTTTAAGATATAGCAATCGTTTGCCCACTATATTGACTATCATTGTTCCAACAATGTCATCTTTATGATCTTCATCAATTACGCCAGTGTACCCACTGTCGATAATGGTGTTTTTGTGTGCACTGACATCATTCTTCACTCTACTTATAAGTTGTTGATCGTCATCTGTGAGATGTTCATCAGGATTCAGATTAGCAACATCAACATCTGGATTCACAAGCATCTTGAATACGTTTTCATGCAAAAAACGTGGCGGCGGGCCTCCTTGGGCAATTGATGTAGCTACCATTTCACCACATGATCTGAATTGGCCATTGTGGATGTTGTAGACAGAATCAATGGGAGCACCATTATGGAACATAGAAGTTCCCATATCCGATATGGCTTTTGTTAAGCATTCCTTGGAGATAGCACCAGAATCAATGCCTCTTTCACCAATATATTTGACTCGGAAAACTTTCTCTGGGGAGGTTTTCTTGCATTCTCTCTGCCATAACAACAACAGCCTTTGAAATGTTATCCCTCTTCGAATCACAAGGAAATATTGACTTGACTTGTCTACATGGTCTTCCAAAGAGGTTACCAAATGTGGGATGTCAGTAAATTTGGTTGAATCTGTCTCGTTACTTTCTTTGCTTTCATTATCAACATCTAGTTCAATGATAGCTTGATGAGTTTCATCGAGTTCCGATTGCATTTCTCTTGCAAGAGTCTCATCATTCATGATCTGGTTTTCAATGTCCGTTTTGCTTAAATCCCTTCCAGGCTCCAGCTTTGATCGTTTTTCCGTACTTGGACCAAAATGAACAGGATCACAGATGGTGTCATTGAAGTATTCCTCCATTTTATGGTTTCTTGACGCAGTATGACTACTTGAACATGTGGTATCATCTTCTTCACTTTCGTATCCTTCAGACATATCATAATCGCGTCGCGTACACAAGTATAAAACTATCTTGGCATAATCTTTACCCACTTCTTCCTTGTACCTCTTGAGGGAAAAAAACTCTTTGTGGGATCCAGGAAGAAACAAAGCTTCTTTACAATTTTCAAGTAAGAGCATGTAATCTTCGTTTTCGTCGAAGCAATCACAATGGAATGCTCGCCACTTCTCAACAGCCTTTTTAAGGATGGAAGCATATGGTGCTGTATTCGATACAACCAACGTCATCCTTTTACCTCGTTTAGGCTTCAATTTTGCTTCTTTGAGATTCCACTCGAAGAGGGAAATTAGAATAGTTACATCAAATTCTTGTGTCTTTGATTTCCCAGATTTGGAAACCAAAGACTTCCATTGTTTTCCCTTTGATTTTCGGTAATCATCATAAGACATTACTCTTTTACCTGCAGCGACTCTGTCTGAATCGTTTACTGAAGTTACAGGATTTGTTGGACAAACATCTGTAAGGAAAGAAAAACAATAAAGTTAGAACCTTTCCATATACAGCATGATACTTACAAAAAACTCGCTCAAAAAAAGACTTGCAAACCACAAAACATGATTCAAATCTTTCAACAAACGGAACGTTCCTACTGAACTATGCAAATATGTGTGGGAATTGAAAAATCAAAACATTGATTATATAATTCATTAGAAACTATTGAAACGAGCTAAGTCTTATAATTGTGCTTCAAATCGATGTAATTTGTGTTTATGGGAGAAATATTTTATTATTTGTAAGCCAGAAATGGCCACTTTAAACAAACGAAATGAGTTAGTCTCTGCATGCATGTAAGCATATAATAAAAAATTTATTTTAAGTAATATTTAAAAGCTAGACATTTAAATATACCGTGGTGTATTAATCTTTCCTCGTCCTGTCAGCTTATCACATAACATGTTAATTAAATTGCGTGCTTTGTAATAGGATTAATTTTTATATTGTACATACCTTGTAAGTTTTAGTCTCTAGTCATTAGGTAAATTTATCTAAAGATTGCCGCATCTTGTGGTATGAAACTATTTAGTAATAAAGACACCTAGTGGATTTTGTTGATTTTAATTTATATATTATAATTTCCATTAATGGTTTTCAATGGTTTTTTAAAGATTTAAATATTTTAAATATTTTCCTGGTAAATATCAAACATGGTTTTTACTACAATAATTTACCATGTGGGATATCTATAATAACCAATAATGAAAAGTTCAGTTTTTACATTGTCAAAATCATTAATGGAAATTTAATTTAATACATGTGGTGTTTCCACAGCAAAGCTATTACAAAACTTCTTTACCTGTTGGAGTGGAGCTGGACGTTCCATAACTGCTAGATTGCAGAGATTTTTGAACTAGAGAATTAATAGACAAGTACTAGTTGTAAGATAAGTCTTTAAAAATCCCAGTTCCCAAATAGGCAAGACTTCAGAGAATCTGAATTTCTGATTCATAAAGATCTCTAGGGCACGATCTCTAAGGCGGACAAAAATTGGAGGGCAGATAACATTTGCCTGATGATGTCGATGGAAAACTGCCTTCTAAGGATTAAAAGAATGTACTGTAAATAAAAGGAACATGTCTCGTATACAGAAATACAAAGCCATTATTAAAATGATAAATAGAAATATTTAAAACGTTTTACACGTATTTATGAAATTTCAATCTTTAACTTCAAAAACATATCGTGCACCATTTTAGGTGTCTCAAAACGCTCAATGAAACTGTGCAGCTTGAATTGGATAAAATTTCCAATTGACTTGTTGTCAATAAACTTTCATTCAAATACCTCACAATCAAGGTTTATTGTCTTTAAATCTTCGAAGAAAAACCAAAACTATAATGTAAAAATTTCCTTGAACAATGCAAACATTGAACAAGTTATAAGTTCTTTGAATGTTTGCATGGCGATAAAATATAATTGTTTTTTGTTTGTGGAAACACCACGTAAATTTATTACTGCAAAGCTTTCGATCCGTAAGCCCGGATCTTCATCAGTGCTAATAATATCATATTACGTGGTGTTTCCACAAACAAAAACAATTATTGAACAAGTTAAAAAAACTACATTTTTGGGTGTAATTATTGATGAACACCTAACATGGAATGATCATATAGACATGATTGAAAAGAAAATTATGAAGTCTTCAGCAATAATATCGAAAAGTAGACATATCAGTATGAATACTCGCAATTAAGCTACTTTATTATGCCTTGGTCTATCCATATCTTATTTACAGCAACATAATATGGGGTAATACATACAAAACAAGAATTCAAAGGCTAATAAATATACAAAAAAGATAGTAAGATTAATGGCATTTAAATCTTATTCAGAGCACACAAACCAACATTTGCAGAGATCTTCGATTATTAAATATCGAACAATTAAATTGCTATCTTACTAGTATATTTATGTTCCGCTATCATCATTTAAAAAATTTACCCGAAATATTTGATAATTACTTCTCAGCTAATTCTGAATTTCACAATTATAACACAAGAACTTCATCCCATCTTCACAAAACTTAGGCTATAAAAGAACTAATTATGCCAAACGTATGCTTTCCCATAAAGTAATTGATGTTTAGAATGTTTTCCGTTGATTACAAAAAAGATTAAGTCTTCTACAATTTTCAAAAAAGAATCAAAGATTACTTATTGACAAATGAAATTAATTTTAGCCTAATGTACCATTATACTTCATAAACTGTTCCTATCTGTATATATGTATATATTTTTTCTGTATCTTTTATATTGAACTGGTTTCTTTTTCAAAGTTATTTTAAATAAATAATGTTTTGTAATTATAAATTAGTCTAGGGGTCTTAAACAAAAGCCTTTAGGTTTCTAATAGGCCTCTAGCCCAAGCCTTCATTAATTTAATGTAGTTAATAAATAAATGTTTTTGTATGTAGAATAAATTATGGGTAAATTAAATAAATAAATAAATGAATAAAACAAATCTGTCATTCAGTTTCTCTGACTAAGCATTAATATCATGACATAATACTTTACACTGAGTTGGGAAGCCCTAGCAAATTGCCAAACTTCAAATTTGAATGGATAGAATCTGCCTAACTAAACACTGACTGGGGGCTGTGACCCACATACTTCCCACCCACTAACTACCCCCCCCCCCTCCTGTCTCTTATGCCTGTGCCAACATTTTAGGAAATTCTACTAAATCTAAAAAATTGAGAGCTCTTTAATAATGTGTACTACACACATACATGTGAGCACAACTTGCAAATACTTTCAGTGACTTCAGTGTGAATCACACAAATACTCAATGATACTAATACTATTTAGCTTTTATGCTTTGTACACCTCTCGGTATATAATACGCTCCAATCGTATGCATTCCCTCCCTTCTCATGTTGTGTTAATACAGAAAATTTTTGCCATCAATATGATGGTATATGCATGTGAATTCATGTTGCCACGCATAACGTCGAATCGACATTATCACCAGCAGGATATGCAATACACTCTAAGATAATTGTTTTTCTGATTTTACTGTAAATATATTAATTAATAGATAACAGTGAACTATAACTAGGGGCCTAAATTAAAAAGCCTGTTAGGGTTTCTAGTAGGTCCCTAGCCCAATATTATTAGAAAATATTTGTAAATATTAACAAAGCTGTACATAGGGGAAAATTAAAAAAAAACTTCAAAACTTCATGGCCCCTTTTAATATATTAATATATACAATATTATAATTATTAAATACGCACCTACTTTTCCACAGTTTCCACAAAAACTTGCATCATTGTGTGCTTTATGGCCACATGACTGACAAAACATCTCGCTGAAGTCACAAAGGATTTTATATAGTATAAAATAACAAACTTTTTATACTGTAATAGAACCAGAATTGAATTCGAATAGAACGAAAATCTCTTTAAATTTATTAAATGAAGTATTGTAGTTTATTTGAGATTGTTACCGCTGACCAATGATGATTTGAATTTGGAGTGAAAAATTTGAATTTGGAGTGAGAAATTTGAATTTGGAGTGAGAAATTTGAATTTAGAGTGAGACATTTGAATTTGGAGTGAGAAATTTGAATTTGGAGTGAGAAATTTGAATTTGGAGTGAGAAATTTGAATTTGGAGTGAGAAATTTGAATTTGGAGTGAGAAATTTGAATTTGGAGTGAGAAATTTGAATTTGGAGTGAGAAATTTGAATTTGGAGTGATGAATTTGAATTTGGAGTGATGAATTTGAATTTGGAGTGATGAATTTGAATTTGAAGTAAGGAATTTGAATTTGATATCTGATTTATTAATGACGTTGCCCTTGTGGGCCACCGTAATTTTCACATTCATGTGCACAATGACCACCTTGCAAACATAAATAGCAACGTTTCTGATCTCTTAAAATGCCCTTTCGATCATTCACATCTTTCACATGTTCGCACGATGCTGAGTAATGATATTGTCCACAATAGACACATTTTATCTTTCGCTCATTTTCCCCATCTTTAACGAATAGACTTGCCGCAGACGAACTGTAATTCCGCTGTCGATTTTGTTTCCATACTTCATTTTGCTTGTGAATGTCATTAAAACTAGAATTGTTTGTACGAACACTCTCACTGATCTCCCGTGCTTCCACTTCCTTTCGAATAATGTCTAGAATATTGTCAATTTTCCAAAGTTCACTGGCAGTCTTTCTTGCAACATGGATTCGTAACTTGGGTGGTAGTTTTGCCATGATTACTGGAATGAGTAGACTACCATATTGTTCCGATTTTACTCCAAGTGCCTCAAGCCCTCTTACGTTAACATTAATTTTATCATACACTCTTCGAAGATCGCGTACCCTTCCAGTCGAACAATCGGGAAGTTTTAACATCTCATCCATATGGGCGGATATGATAACTTGAGTATTGCCATAACGTTGTTTAAGAATGTCGATTGCAACCTTGTAGTTTTCTTCCGTCAAAGCCAATCCCTTAATAACCAGTAATGCTGAACCCTCCAACAAGGAATATAAGTAATTAAATTTGTCAATGCTTGACAAACTTGTATTCTTGTGGACAGCATTTTCAAAACTATCCCAAAATGGTTGAAATTCAGTAATATCTCCTCTGAACCGGGGTAAAGTTAACTTTGGAAGCTTCGTTTTTGCACCATAACCTATGACATAATTTCCACTTGATTGATTGGTTGTTGGACTACTAGGGTCTGGGTGAATTAAGGTTGGGTTACTTGGTGTAGGATCTTGGGTTGAATTAACATTGTCCTGTTCGTTTATTGTTTCATTATTGACATTAACTTCAGAGGAAATTTCACCTACCTCTGTTATTTCTACTTGCGGGGTATTTTGACCAGGTATAGATATATCGTGAATAGGTACTTTTCCTGTATCGTCGATTTTCTTCGCAAAAAACTTGGATATTTGTTTTTTAACATCAAGAACTCGTAAATTTAATTCCGCGGATACTTCAATCTCGTTTTCTATTTCTTTAACTTCGCATAACTGTAAGATTTCTTCGTCGAATTTCTTTACCACTTGTAATTTTTCCTCAAGAAGATCGTGCAACGTGTTTAAACGATCCTTCGTATTTTCGTCGATATTTTCTCCATTTGCCAATAATTCCTTCGCTTTGTTACTGTATTTCGTTATAACTGCTCTGTTCCCACGACGGGTAGCCTTTTTCCTTTCTAATTGATCGGTCATAGCGCTAAAACATAACTTTTTCGATAAACTAAAGGGCACGTTGCCGTGACGTTGGGCGCCATGTTTGAAACTTTATATATTTCTAATATTATTACATGAAGTATTACGATAACAAATAAATTTAAAGTAATGTTGCGTAATCTGTCACACCGGCCATTGACATGTGTGCCCTCCCCCCCCCCCGCTTGTTGCTACTAGTAGCGTAGCCAATCAGAATGCGCAATATGTAATAGCCTACTAGTAGCTTTATACTAACATAAATTAGCCAGGAAGTTAGCTATAGACAGTTAAAATATTAATTACTCCACTGTTCACTGCTATAATTACTACTGAATTCTGGCTGAACTGATAAGGATTATTTTACCAGCTGATACCATAAATAGAAAACTGATGTTATTTGTTAAATGTTATTCCGAAAAAAGTGCATTTTAACGACATGCACATCTATTTTAACTCAGAGATCCCAAGGATAGTGCAATGCTTATGTTTCAAGGTAGCTAAAGTATAGCCTGTGTAGCGGACCCTCGTTGGGGTGGAAAAGACAAGTCAATGCAACCCAAATAGACACTTGTCAAATTGACCAATGAAAACTTGGGAAAATCCCTTAATTGGGAAAATTACAGTTAAGGATTTAACTATGGTAGTTTATAACGCTAGCTGCAGTTAACTTTAACTACATTTGTATACAACCAGCTCCAGGCGAAAAGCAATGCTTTCCCCAGCTGGACCTGGTTATTAATCAACCAAGAAAAGGTCGATGGAGCTAAAACTAAAATACTGGTACTTATTGTGATATTGGCTTGTATAAATAAATGGTTTCTGCATGGAGTTTGGCAACCACAATATAGTAGCGAGAAGCGAGCAAACTGTGAAAACATGACTAAAATTTTACTATAGCAATATTTGAATTACAGCACAATACTTTGTACCCTGGTTCCAGAGGCTCTTTGCAAGGTGAAATAAACAAGAAGTGAGAACGGAGAGCTTCTGGTCACATCGGTTGCAAATCCCACTTCCACACTGGATTAGGTTCAGAATTTGAATCTCGCATGTGATTGGCCATTTGTACTAAATATATGTCAAACCGGTTTGAGAAATAAACAGTAATGTTGTTTTCCCAAACCAGTTTGACATCTTTTTACAAATGGCCAATCACATGCAAGATTCATATTCTGAACCTAATCAAGTGTGGGAATGGGATTTGCAACCAGTGTGACCAGATTTGATAAACTTGTGTATTACTGAAATCAGTAAGGTGTTATCAGCGTGACTTGGAATTCAAAACGCACAAAGCCATTTGATCAATCGTTTTCGAAATTCATTGAAGTCACGTGGCCAAAAAGGTTGATCATTTTTGTCACATGACTTTGGGCCTGTTTATATTATCCTTGGATCCCAGATCCTTGGATTCTGGATCCTTGGATCCTTGTCTCAGCGACAAGAAATTCAATGCCAGGAAAATAAGATTTTAACAAAAGTCAACGATGTGAGAGCTTTGCAAGAATCGTTTACAGCAAAGGCAAACAATTCCATTCATCCAGCGTGCTCAAAATGTCACCTACAACCTGGACATACGAGACCTCTCTGTCCCAATGATGTGTGTACCCAGCCTAGTTCCAATCTCTTTCTCTGTACGTATGCTGCTTTGATATATTTAAATAAGTTTTATAAGTTTTATGCCTGGGTGTGCTGTGCCGAACGCTTCAGCGAGAGAAGCACCTTTAAAGTACTGAGTTCTGAAGTTTTGAGTTCTGAAGCACCTTTAGCTGTGAAGTCCTAAAGCACCTAGGGCCCAGTCTCAAAATACATCAGAAGGGAATCCGGAATCCAAGATTTGGAATCCGGAATCCAAGATGTGGAATCCGGAATCCAAGGAGTAGGATTCGGAATCCAAATACCTCCTGGATTACCTCACATGGGGCAAATGATAACATATAGCTATGTTGGACAATATTCAAATCAAATAACAATTTATTCAAGATACAGAGATACAACTTATTGTAATACCAATGTTCTTGCAGGCGAACCATGAGGTTGACCCTATTCGAGTAGTTCCCTTACCTACACTAAATCTGTGCTAAAAAATATTTATCAACCATCAGCTCCTAAGAGTACATGTCCATATGCTCTTTCAATCTACTTTTAAAAGTGAAAGCCTATCAGCCTCCACAACAGGTGCTGATAAACCATTCCACAAATTAATAATTCTGACAAAAAAAGAATGTTGAAAGCAATTTACTCTAGATAGTTTTAGTATAATGTATATTTATGATTCCATGTGTTTGCCATAGACCCCCCTTGGTTATGATTCCAAAAATGGTTTTGGAATGGAGAATATTTGAGATACAAGAGGCAATTAGTACAGTGGAGTTATTAGATACACTGTAGTAGGTGTAAATATTAATAAATTTTATGAGTTATTTCTAATAATTTTAATTCTCATAAACCATTTATAGGACAAAATATTTGGAAGATGCTGCTACAGAACTAAAGAAAAAGTCTCCAGAACCCATGAATTCGATAGGAAAAGCATGGTAACACAGGAAAAACATGGTAACACAGGATGTGCCTCCCACAACTCCAGGTATTAAATATTACTAGTAAGGTTATACATGTAGGTGTAAATATACAGCAATTTAGGAAGTTGTTTATTTGGATACTGTAGTGGGTTATTTGTGTTCACTGATATTAACTAGAAAATACATGCATGCAGAAACCTTCGCCTTACTGATAAAACATTATGTTTTGTGAATATGAAGAGTTGAAAGAAGTTGTCATGGTAACCCGATAATTTTAAGAATAGTTTTAAAATTGAAAAATCCCCCCCCCCCCAAATATCACTTTTAATAACAAAATTCTCAATTTCCCAAACATATATATGCTAGGTATGTTATTATACGTAATATAAGCTTCAATTTAATATAAAATTCAACCACAAACACTTCGCAAAATGTTTTAAAATCTTAAACATTGAGTTTCAAATAAACTGATTTGAAATTCTTGCATGAAAGTAACTTTGCTTTCCTCTTTATTTCAACATTTTAATACACAAAAGAAAGGGCAATTAATAAAACAACACTGAAATTATATGCAGTCTTTTTTCACTTATATATATGCAATGACAGTATATCAGTTCAATATTTGCAGTATCACCCACCACTAGCTATCAGTTATAAATATATCAATTATAAAACAAACAATACATCAATATTTAAAACGAACTTACCTTCATTAACGTTGGTGACTTTGCTCATTCTTTTAGAAGTTTTTAAACGTTTTTTGGCTTTGAAATTTACAAAATCTTGCAAAAATACAACTTGAAAGAAATGTTTGTTATTTCACTGTCGTGAATGCAGTCGTTAATGCATTCGCGAAAATATACAGTGAAAATACAGCGACTTTTTCGATAAAATATACGAAATGTAAAATGGAAAACCCGCTTGACCTGAATATGTGAAGATTGCGAAGCGTTTGATCAACTTTGAAGCGAGAGATGTTGTACTTGCATGCCATGGTCTGATGAATTTCAACGCTACTCTTTGCTACTTGCTGAATAGCAATGTATTGATCAGAAATTTATTCATACAACTAAACCAACGTCTCAATAATTGGAAACTTACTTCAAAGTTGAAAGGTATTGTACAATGAAACTTTACAATGCGAGTATATTTGTAAAATTTATGTGCAAGAATTTCTGTTCAGAATTTCCTGTGCAGGATTGTCTGATCCTGCACTGCTGTTGACCAATCAAATTGCGTGTTTCACTGTAGTTATTATATAAATACATTTACCAGTATTAGTACTGTAATGAGAGAAATGTCTGCATTTTAATTTATATTTACTTTCCCTTATTCTTTATTTCAGTTTCAGAAGTTCAAAGACAACAGCCACTGGAGAGAGATCAGAAAATTCTGAAAGGCAAAACCCCACTGCAAGGCGTGTAAGCATCCCATGAAGGGACACAAATATGTCAAGGACTGTCCTAGAAACAGCGGACAGTGATTGTATATATTTGTTGTAAATATTTTTCTTGAATTAAGTTAAACAAGATGCCGACTCAGCGTTAACTTCGGGTCGGTGGATAGGGCATTGTCTGGTAAATATGCAAAAATCGTGTAAATCACAATAGTTTAATAGTTCACTATTATAAATGGTGAATCAGTCAATCAAAGCTCCGTTTTAACATTTTATTGATAATAATTACTGACCCTCATCAAACCTATTGTTTTTGTCTCTGCATTATATCAGCGTAAGTTTTAACGTTCTACTGAAAAAACGGAGCAGTCTTTTTATTGTAGGGAAATTCCGGCCCAGGGGTAAATGTTTATATGGGCTAAAATAGCACACAATATTATTAAAAATAATGCAGCATGCACACAGCATTATTAAAAATAATGCAGCGTCCATCAGTGCACACAGACATTAGCAATAATGCATCTTCGTCACCCTGACATGTACACACAATAACGTGAACATCTCAAGATGAGGTGACAGTGCTAAAAGCCCCTCATACAATATCATTGGGTGCCTGAAGCACTGCCAAAAATGGTCACCTGAGTCCTTTCAGTTCAATTTTATAGAGAAGTAGTTTTGTTTGCGCTTGTGGGATTTTATCCTAGATATACGCATGTGCAGAACACACCATGAGTTCTATTCCTGTGTTTATCCAGTTTAATATGCTCTTTGAATTAACCTTATCATTAATGATAATATGTAAACTAGAACACTATAATTGACCTCTGCTTGTGGAGATTTTAATTTAGGGCGATTAATTAAACTGAAATCTGTTCTATCACGATGCACTACAGTGCCTGTGGTTATGTCTATACGCATGTCCTCACAAATGTCTAGTGTAACGTTGGATAGGTTCGTTGTCATACGGTCCCGACAAGCAGCAATGTACAGTAGTCTTCCAGCCGAAAATAATTACTTTTGATTTGGGTCAGTAATTATAATAGATAATTACTTCGGCCAACAGGCATTATTGGATATATTGCAGCCAGCTTCAGCCTCGGGTGGCTGCAATATATCCAATAATGCCATTGGCCTCAATAATTATCTAATAAATAGTTAAATACAGGAACAATTTAGAGAATTTACTGACGCAATTATTTAACTGTATTCATTATTTGGGATATTTTGTGGACAAGTGAATGATATACATAGCTACTTCACTACTTCATCTTGTATTTAGTAACACTAACAGACAATATTATCAGTCAATTTGTTGATTGCACATAGCAGAACGACAGTCACTTCAGATATTTTTAAAATATATCAAAGTACCAAAAATATAATTAGGTGCATATAACTGATCCATGATTAGTAATATTTGTGCCACAGTCGAAGAATGTAATGAGTGGACAGTTGGCAAAATTGTTGTCTACCAGTTATAGTATTAAAGAACCATCCATAAAATGCTTAGCAGTATCAAACAAGTGAATGTTAGCCGTGGTATTCCCATGCTATGCATACAAAGTATTGTACATTATATCAACATATACTCGAGAATAGTTATCCAGCTAAACATGTATGTCAAAATTATCACATCTTTTAAATAAACAATTTTGACGGATTTTGTACAAGGACAGCTTCGGGTTCCGTTTTGCTTTGGTGCTTTGCATGAAGTACACTTAATTACGGGAAGTTGTTGTATCCTCCGCAGGCTCTTCGACTATGCACACGGCTCAACACAAAATGGGAAAAAAATAGCCGAATTTATGACCTCTGTGTCACACCGACCCGAGGTAATTATATTGAAACACACAGGGATGTGCTCCCTCCAATTCTCTTGCCCAGTGAGTCCTTTTTCACTCCACTTTAGTGTAACAAATCCTAAGCTTCGATAGGAGGGAGCAAACGAGAAACTTGTCAACTCTGGCAGCAGAAATTAAATAAACTTCTGTAAGTTGGACATGTAATCAATTTACTTTAGACAGACACAACAGTTTCGACTGGTAGTGTTTGTTCTGAAACACTTGACAAGTGCCTCTTTGCTTCCTGTCCTTACACTTCATCTCAATACTCACTACACTTACACATAAAGGGGGCCTAATAGAACAAGTCTAGTTTTTTTTTGCTATGAAGAGAACTGACCTTGCATTGACAAAGTGAGAAATTCCCTATTATGCTAATAATTTTTGTCAATGGGAACAACTTTAAGGAGATTCAAATTTTTTAGTGGCATAAAGTTTGCCATGCTATCAATTAGATCCTGCTCTTGTTGGCAGTTTCATATTAGCCCAACATTGGAAAGCCTGGCTCCAATTAGCCTCCTGCGCAGACGTTGTTAGTGGCCCGAGGCCTCACCTAACGTCTGCTCACATTCGCTATATATTTGACTTCCCGGCAATTAACCAATCACAGTCATCTACACGATAATTGGAAGATCGACCTTCAATGACCTTCACACGCATGAGCTATTTTATATCAACAAGTCTGCAGTATTTTTAAATTTGACAGTTTTAATACTGCGCGTATCAGAAGCTTAAAAAGCTGGTAAACGAAAAGAAGGATGCTTTCGTCAATCTCGCAACTGGCGCAGGAATTACATATTTATCAGGCAGTTACCTAAGCTATTCGATGTAATATTTGGATTTAAATATTTAAACAAATTGTAAACATTTAGTTTTAAATCGTGGTTTCCCAATTGATAAATTCAACGCGAAATCAAGGGAAAAAAACTACACAATCTAGGAGTGAGTGCTCACTGTGTCATTATTAAGTGGAATATATCGAAAGCGATTAAGAACGCGAAGGCATTGGAATGGAAGAAGGGAAATATTCTGTATCATATTTGGCACAGGTAGAGTCACTGTTGAACGCTGGAGATTGGTGGCTATATTGATGTATTATAATAAATTCTAAAAATGTGTTCGCTTTTGTAATTCTCAAAGCCACAGGAATCGATCGGGCATTTTAGTAGTCGTTAATATTTTATAGTGTTTATTAAATTGAAGTTGTCTTTTTATACATTGCCTCTTATTACTATTGCATGTAGTACTATAGCATGCAAGTTCATATGACATATGAGACTTTCAATTATGAAGGATTTGCATCAGAGGGTTGGGGTATGCATACTAACTAGAATGGCTCATAAAAACTTGCTAGTATACCACATCCAATAGATGTTAGTAGGCATATAAATACGAGCGCAACGTATACAAAGAAAAATTCAAGACAATATAAAATAACGACTATTAAAATGATCGAGGCCGATCGATTTCTGTGCTTTGAAAATTTAATACAAATGCGAACACATGTATGTTTAGGATTTATTATAATACATACTGACATGAGCTTCATGCATCAATAGCCAAAACACAAACGATTCTGCTATACATGCACTTTGTCTTCAACAATGACTCTGCCTGGTGTGCCATATACATAATATTTCCCTTCTTCCAATGCCTTTGCTTATTCATCGCTCTCAGTTCAACTTATAATAATGACACAGCACTGACTCCAGTTGTGAAATTGATGAAAACATCTTTCTTTTCGTTTACAATGGAATGAAAAGCTTCTTCTGATACGCGCAGTATTAAAACTTTCAAATTTAAAAATACTGCAGACTTGTTGATATAAAATAGCTCATGCGTGTGAAGGTCATTGAAGGTCGATCTTCCAATTATCGTGTAGATGACTGTGATTGGTTAATTGCCGGGAAGTCAAATGTATAGCGAATGTGAGCAGACGTTAGGTGAGGCCTCGGGCCACTAACGTACAACGTCTGCGCAGGAGGCTAGGCTCCAATAGGAATACAAAATTATCTGAAAACTATAAAAAAGATTACAAGACTCATTAATACAACCTAATGTGACCTAAATAGTATTTAAAATTCAAAATTTTTAAATGTGCCTGCAACAATTCAAAAGTGCCTGCGAGCAGCACGCTCATGTGTTTTAATGATGTATGATAACCTGACAGTGTTCATTAATTGATGTCAACAAATCCCATCAAATCTTCCTTTTCAACAGGAAATGTCTTCCTTATCATTGTGTATGCACAACATGGTAACTGTATCCTTTTGTTTGCAAGTAAGCCATATGCGAGTCTGGTAAATTCTCTCTATATGAAATACTCCACAAGAATCTGAAAACCACAATTATATAGTTATTTCATGGTCAATAGAATATAGGCAATGTGATTGTAAACTCGATGGAATACAATACAACTCATTATCTCTGTTTTTGTCTCAGTTTATGCAAAAATTGGTCACTTAAATCATCATGTGTGTGTTGTATTTTCGCCCAACCAACCAATAGCAATGCTTTACATCAATGATGGTGAGGTGATCAATCTTTGCATCAACTTGTATAGACAAAAACATAGATAGTGAGTTGTATTGTATTCCATCAAGTTTCCAAATCTTGTTTATATTCTATTGACTATGGTTATTTATACAACATTTATTCCCATAATACTAGCATATTTTCTATCACTTGGTAAAGACATGTAGTAATATTTGAGCATAAATTTATATTATTTCCAAACTTTGAACATTTGTCATTTGTTGCCTGCAATTTTGAAAGTTCACATTGGCAGGTTTCCCTAGAAGCATATCACAGGTTTTGTTTACAAACATGGTAAGTTTCGAATGGATTTGCGATCCTACATGTAAACTTTAGATTCATTTCAGATACCATGTGGCTGCTTTATTCATACTTTATATACATATACTGCATTGTCAAAAAATACTAACCTGTTTTCTGAATCCATCTGATGATATTTAGCTTTACTCTTGGTTAACCGGGATGTTCGGTGATACATTTCATGTGTGCGTCTTGGCCCACAACATTGAGCACTTGCTCACTGATAAGTGCTTGCCCACATTCCTCGATCTCGCAGCAGCATAAACATTCATTGTGATTATGGAGGTCACTTCTACTACAGTTCCCATATTTGCACCTATATTGGGAGAGGAATATTAGGTTAAAACGACTAAATATTGTTAAATTAGCATGGCATACATAAACATCGATATATTTGTCTTTGTTTATATTGTCTGGCCCTGGGCATAAAATCACAACAAATTACAACAGCTTCTAACCAATTATTTTATACTTTTCTTACCATTCACTAATTTCCACAGAGCCGTCAAACCTTTTACACAATTTCTCTTCAAATTCTATGTGTTCATTCTCTGCCGTTTGGTAGCTTTTTATTCATTCCTCATCAGCTAAAGGCTCTTCAGAATATGCCAAACCAGGCACATTTTCGTTGGAATAACACTTTGAACTGTTCAGAAATTGTTCGGCATCTTCCAACACAACATATCCGGGTATGAAATTTACATCAGAATCATCAGATTGATAACTACTATCCGAGTCGGATTCTGTTGTAGACATGATTTATAATATACTAAGATACAGTAAAAACGATAAAAATCCTTCTTTCTTGTGTGTCACGCAAGTAACTTGCGTGACGTCACAATAAATGCTATCCCCAGACTCCTGTAGCCGACGTCCATCGGCCAAAAATTTTTGTGTTTAAACTGCTCTAAAATCGAAAAATTCTTTCACCAAAACACTCCACATAATGTGTACTCTCAATAGACAAAAAATCAATTTTTGTGTCAGGGGCACTTTAAACTCTGGTTTGCATCGCTAGTTTAACAAGCAAGATTTTATTATGCAAAGGTAATTGCTAATTTATATTTGTTTAACTGTATGTGCCTCTGTTCAATTTTCTTATGTTTAATTCATGTTTAGAAAATATGCTGATTATATATTTTTTATGCTTGTCATGTTACTCTGAGTGTATATCCACACCGGGCGAGCTTGAAAAATATGCCCGGCCACGGTGGGAATCAAACCTACGACCTTTGGAATACTAGCCCAATGCTCTGCCAACTGAGCTATGCGGTCAGGACGGTTCGGGTGTGTGATATTTTGTAACCGAATCTAGTTCCTTTGATATCAATGTAATCTAATAATCATGATTTTTTCTGTGTTGGTGTAGTGTACTCAGGTGAATATGATGCTTGTGATGTTACTCTGAGTGTATATCCACACACCGGGCGAGCTTGAAAAATATGCCCTGCCATGGTGGGAATTGAACCTACGACCTTTGGAATACTAGCCCGATGCTCTGCGAACTGAGCTACATGGTCAGGACGGTTCGAGTGTGTGATATTTCGGAACCAAATCTAGTTCCTTCAATATCAATGTAATCTAATAATCATGATTTTTTCTGTGTTGGTGCAGTGTACTCAGGTGAATATGATGCTTGTGATGTTACTCTGAGTGTATATCCACACCGGGCCATGCGCTCATTGGGCTAGTATTCCAAAGGTCGTAGGTTCGATTCTCACCATGGTCAGGCATTTTTCAAGCTTGCCCGGTGTTGATATACACTCAGATTAACATCACAAGCATCATATTCACCTGAGTACACTGCACCAACACAGAACAAATCATGATTATTAGATTACATTGATATCGAAGGAACTAGATTTGGTTCCAAAATATCACACACTCAAATCGTCCTGACCGCGTAGCTCAGTTGGTAGAGCATTGGGCTAGTATTCCAAAGGTCGTAGGTTCGACTCCCACCGTGGCCAGGCATTTTTTCAAGCTCGCCCGGTGTGGATATACACTCAGAGTAACATCACAAGCATCATATTCACCTGAGTACACTGCACCAACACAGAAAAAATTATATAAATTTTGTTTTAATTTTTATATGCTAAATAATTAGAACGCCTTCAATGTTTGATCGAAGCCAAGAACAAAAGGTTTCCCCTGCAGTGGACCCATTGGCATCAATATCATTGAGGCAATAAACCTGATTGAAGACTATATGATATGTTATCAAGCTAGGATCCAAAGGCTAGTATCCACAGGTCGTAGGTCCGATTCCCACCATGGCCAGGCATTTTTTCAAGCTTGCCTGGTGTGGATATACACTCCGGCTAACATCACAAGCATTATATTCACCTGAATACATGTTAACACCAATGCAGAAAAAAAGTTGTCTCTGTTACCAACAACATGAGTTTTAATAGTATTATGTTTTATTATGTGAATTTTTAGGACTGTAATATTATTTTACATGTGGTTATTGCCTATACACTATAAAAAGATCTCAAGGACATTTGGTGCCAACTTGGTATTTTCAATAAGACTATGTGGGAGGAGTATAAAATGCTATTGGTTTAAAACCGAGTTGTTCTTCCGGTTTTCCAAATATGGAATGCCTATCCTTATATATTGTTGTTTACAATTTTCATGCAGTCTAATCTGTATTCACTTCATGCATACGAAGCGGAACAATGTTAGACATTAGCTAAAGTACATCATGTTTTATAACATAGGGTATTTAAAACATAAACAAACTGCCATCAGCCAGTTTGTCCACATACAGACTTGACCACCCCTTTAATTTAATGCCCTACAATTTTACTCGTCAAGGGGAGAGCACTGGGCTTAATGGGTTAACTGGCCTGTCTGCCCATGTGTCTAGTTAAGCCATTGAGTTGCATTGCGCCCTGATATGCCCTACTTTATTGTGTCTAATGCCAGACTATTTTACTCGTCAAGAGAGCGCTGCTGCTTAATATGGGTTAACTGACCTATCTGTCCATGTGTCTATTTAACCCATTGAGTTGCATTGTGCCCTGATGTGCTCTACTTTATTATTTTACTCGACTAAGGGAAAGTACATTTATTATGCCGAGGAGGGGGATGAAGATGTCCTGAAAAAACTCATATTTTTACAGGGCCCCTGTTGAGGTTATTGGTAATTTTCGATGCCCCCCTCCAAGTTTTTAAATTTTCAATGCCCCCCCTCCAGAATTCGGAATCGAAGGAGTACAATCCGGAATTCTCTCTTATCATAGATACAATTTGCAGTTCCTCAAGATGTCTGATATACTCAAGCATGTGCTTCTCAACAAAAATACCGACCTGCTGCTTCTTTCACCTCACTAGCGCCAGATGAAATGGCACCGTCTTTAAAAAAAACATTTTAGATTGGCTCTAGGGGCAAAATTATTAACAGGTTGTTGTTGTCCGTCATTCAGTGTATAGTCGGAGTCTTGAACACATTCATGTAGTGGCCAGGATTTCTTGGATCAGGGTAATGTGCTGGAACATTAGAGAATGTCGCCCCCCACCCAACGTATCTCCTGATATGTTGCAGATGTCTTTGCATGCCTGTCAAAAATGCATGTAAAAGTGCCGGTATGCAATTTTTTAAATTTTCATCCTGTTTGTACTTAATATCTCATAAACATAGAACATATCATTCTTACAAATCGTATGCTTTTTTGTTTTTGGACTGCTACTTTTTGGAAATTACTTCACAAACCTGGCACCAAAAAATTTTAAAGAAAGCTATATGTGATTTCATGTATCCATTTAGAAGAGCAGACTAAGATATCTTAAAACTGAAATCGGTTTCAAATACAACCATCAGGGGACGTAGCAAAGCATCTGACGTTGGGGGGGGGATGTTGGAGAATTATATGTGTAATAAAGCTTTTTGTGATTGATTGGCACTCTCATACTAAGTTTTGGGAGAAAAGGGGGGTCTGGGGTCCTCCCCCAGAAAATTTTGACATTTATGAAGCTCTAGGACTGAATTTCTGGCATTTTCTAAAGCAAATTTGCAAACAAATTTCATGTAAATTGACTGTATTTTACAAAAATGGTTATCATTTCACAAAAATAATTACTTTATTATGCAAATTTTACCTGAAAATGTCAAAATTTTAACTTGAATTTTTTATGCTTTTTTTCCTACATTTCACAGTAGGGGGAGTTTCCAAACCATCTATTCTATTAACTATGGTGGGAGTGAACACTCCAGGCCCCTGCTGGATCAAAACTTTGAAAAGTTTAGAGCCCCCCCCCTTCAGTGTATCGAGAATATTCAGACATAGCCCCCCCCCTTTAATGCCAGAAAATATTTCGGTGCCCCCTCAACATCTTCATCCCCCCCCCCTTGGGATAATAAATGTACTTTCCCTAACACCAGACGATTTTATTCGTCAAGGGGAGAGTGCTGCCACTCAATGGGTTAATATGAATTCTCAGCTACATATGCCATTCTCAGGGACGCCGGAACTGGGGGGCAGGAGGGGCAGCCGCCCCCCTTGCCCTTTACCAGGAGGGGCAAGGGGGGCCAAGGTGCCCTTTCAATTTAAAGGATTGGCTTGGCGAAATAGCGAATTGTCAGAAATGTTAGTGCAATTCTTTTATGAATTTACTTCAGAAAACGCAAGAAATGCAGTCATCAAGCTTCAAGAATAGCACAATCGCCTGGCGGAGAACCCCCTCACACCCCTGTCATCCAATAAATAGAAAACATGATTAGGCGAAAGTTTTGCAAACATCTCTTAGTATATATCAATTCAAAAGTGCCCTTTCACGAAAATCTGCCCCCCTTGCC